TTTTTTTTCCAACGTTTATTTATTTTTGGGACAGAGAGAGACAGAGCATGAACGGGGGAGGGGCAGAGAGAGAGGGAGACACAGAATCGGAAACAGGCTCCAGGCTCTGAGCCATCAGCCCAGAGCCTGATGCGGGGCTCGAACTCACGGACCGCGAGATCGTGACCTGGCTGAAGTCGGACGCTTAACCGAGTGCGCCACCCAGGCGCCCCAATAAAAAGACTTTTAAGGGGCGCCTGGGTGGCTCAGTCGGTTAAGCGTCCGACTTCAGCTCAGGTTATGATCTCACACTCCGTGAGTTCGAGCCCCACGTCGGGCTCTGTGCTGACAGCTCAGAGCCTGGGGCCCACTTCAGATTCTGTGTGTCTCCCCCTCTCTCTGCCCCTCCCCTGCTCATGCTCAGTCTCTCTCTGTCCCAAAAATAAATAAAAACATTTTTAAAAAATTTAAAAAAAAGACTTCTAAGACTGTCTCTCTGTATCAGTGAGCAGTAGTGCCCACCAGAATTTCCTGAGAGCACAAAGACAATGGCAAGTCATATACTTGCTCAGATATTCGAAGGATGGGGGAGGGTGACTGTTGGGTCATCCTTAGCCGGAGCTTCTCTAGGCTTTTAACTATATGTTGATCACCAATGTGAGTCAGGTGGACTTCTGTGAGAGAATGGTGTTCGGTGGTCAGGATCTCTTTTGTACATTTTTTCCTAAATGGAATACACAACAGATAAGGGAGTGGAGGAGGTAACACAGGGAAGATACTCCTAGCTCAGAAGGAGTGGAATTGATAAAGCCCATATATGCATTCAAGAAGTCCATGGAGTCCTCCAGCTGTGGAGAGTGGCTAGAATTGACACTGTGGACCATGGGAATGTTTTCCTGCACAGCTCCAAAAACTCTGCATAGAGGTTAGTGGGATCCTATGGCCCACCGATAAAATGAGTGGGAATAGTCACAGAAGCAAGAGCTCCCACCCAGCATGTTCTAAACTTCTTTCTCTGGATGATGTACCGCAAGAGACTATCGATAACTAAGTTCTCGTCATTGTTGCGTATCCCTGCCCACATGTCCCACAGCTCACCCCCAGAGCATTTGATGTACGGCCCATAGACTGGGGTGAGACCTCGAGAGAATACAAAGAAATCTGCGTCAATCGTGTGAGGATGGGTGACAGCATGCCTCCATTTAAAAACATTTTTTTAATGTTTATTTATTTTTGAGAGAGAGAGAGAGACAGAGACAGAGACAGAGATAGAGAGCGAGCATAGGAGAAGCAGAGAGAGGGAGACATAGAATCTGAGGCAGGCTCCAGGCTCTGAGCTGTCAGCACAGAGTCTGACGCAGAGCTTGAAGCCACAAACCACAAGATCGTGACCTGAGCCGAGGTCGGACGCTTAACCAACTGAGCCACCCAGGCGCCCCAGCATGCCTCCATTCTTGAGCTGCTTTTGGAAGAGAGGACGGTGAATCTCAGGAAATATACCTCCATTTGACAGATAGAGACTCCTCACGGTAAGCTGACGAGATCATTTCTGCTCGAACCTATAGAGCACCTTCTGAGCAACGATACCTCTGTAATCATGAGACAAAGGTTGATCCTATGGTTCTGGAGCCCCAGATGCCACAAAAATGCCTCTATGATGCTGGCCTGCTCAAATATGGAACAGTGATGTGGTCTTGTTTGTCACTGCAACCAAAGACCAAGAAACTCAGGGCAATCACTTGTTAAAACCTCACAGTCAGACCTTCCCAAATCTTGTACTAATCACAGCTGGAAGTTGGAAACCTAGGTAAAAGCACAACTATCTCAGGATTTCCAACCACACCCACAGAGTCCTGGTAGAAGATGTGCAGTCTCTCGTAGGTGAAAAATCTGCCTGACGACTTCCACGAGTGAAGAGCAGGAGACAGCTGGAGTGCCGGGAAACACAGGCCACAAACAGGGGCACAGCTAGTCACCCCACCTGAACCCACCACTCCTTCATTGTGTGGAGGTGATCTCGGTGCACCATGGCTGCGTCTTATCCCCTGCTGCCCGGCACAGCAGTTTGGAGCACCCGGTGCCACGGCGCCCGCAGCATGGCAGGGCCAGGCGGCAGCCAGGCACAGCACACAGCCCGCAAGGGCAGCGCCGGCCAAGACAAGCAGTGAGTAGTGGTAAGTACCCAGATGTGCTGGTTGCCACGGCCCACTCACACAGTTGTATGGACCTATTTCAATAGTGTTGTAATTCACATTTTAAACTACAATTTTATTTTGAAATAATTTTAGACTTACAGACAGCACAGAGAATTCCTGTATACTTCTCACCCAGTTTCCACTCTTGTTAACAACCTACATATCAATGGTGTATTTGTCAAGGGTTTTGTAGATCTTAAGGATGGGTGAAAAATACTTTCTTAACTCCCGCTTGTACAGCAGACTCTCATCAAGGGCAGTTTGTAGCCGATAGCAATTTATTTAATTAATCTGCATTATTGAGTTATGATCTTTGTGTTCCCCACCACCATCAAGACCCTAGATAATAACTAGGGGACAACTGATGAGTTCATGCTTGCACAAAAATGGTGTCAAGAACTTCATGTGGCAACATTCTATCATGAATAAAGCCTGTGGGTCTCACAAAACAAACACTCTTCTAATGGCTTCACTGACAGTTAAATACTGATGTGCCAGCCACCAGTGAGCATTGTGGACGGCAGGAAGTGAATTATTAATGTAAACTCTCTCCATAAACTCATCTGGGAATGGGTTTCCATTAAAATCAAGAGGCAAATTAATTTAGAGGTCACTCATTCTTAGCACACATATGGATATATATACTTTCTTCCCGTATTGGCCACACACTAGGGAGAAATCCAACCAAATCCACTTGGAGAAGGAAAGATGTTTAATTTATGCAGCAACTAAAATCTTGTGGATTGAATTCACAGCTAAAAAGGAAACATTTTTAAATGAGAGCCTTTAGTAATTTGGTATGAACAGTGAAAGGAGTCAGGGAGACAGTCACTAAAGATCAGGCTCCAGAGGCAGGCTTAGTGTGTTCCTGTTTGCTCACCTGGAGTCTGCCCCTCTGAGAAGAACACCAGGACTCAGAGTCTCGATCCACAGACTTATGCTCTGGTTCTCCTCCAGCAGTAGGGTGTGGTTTGCCTACTATTTCAGAAGAAATAGGGACTCCTATTAAAGATGCAAGCAATATAACTTTCCTACTACAGAATAAAATCTCGGCTGATTTTATTCTGGGGATAAGGTCTGAGGTCTCCTGTGGTGAGATTGATGAGCAGGAAAAAAACCAAAAAGGTACGGAAACTGCATATGGTGAGAAACTGACTTACCTCAGTAGCTTTCTGGCTGAGGCCCCGAAACAGCAGCACGATCACGTGGATGGCAGCTCTGCGCACTTGAACTTCATGGTCTGTCTTAGCCACAGCAATCAGGCAAGCTGTTACCTAGGAGGACGAGGGGAAAAGTCAATAAAATTCAGGATTGCACAATTACCTTAAGTTTTTCAACTATGTTCCACTTTCTACACATCCACCACAAACAATCTGGCTTAGAGAGGGGTGGATAGTTACCTCATTCTCCATAAAGAGAGACAGATCTAGTGGTGGAGATCTTGATTTAGTCTGGCTTTTCCGGAAAAGGGCAAAATCCGGTTTGGAATTCAGGAAGAAGATTAGGGAGTCAGCAGGGATATGTGTATAAAACAAAGGTATGGTCAAATTCAAGTATTTCCTCAAAAGTAGGAAGAAATGTTACTTGTCCCCCTTTGGGAATGCTAAATCAAAGGAAGGAAAGATGGTCCAAACCATAGTGGCTTTCTAGGGAGTGAGGACCATGGGGATTTAGCTAAGCAGGCTTTGGAGTTCAAGGCCCAGCATGAATATGAATGCGCCGTTGATGAAAGTTACAGCCCAGGGATAGAAAAATACATAAATATTCTAACTGATCTACTTCCACATGTCCAGGTGTCCTGGTCCTGCAATCTAGCATACCCCACCATGTGAGTCACCCGGGGCCAATTTCAGAGTCTCCCCGGGTTTCTTCATGTGTATAATAGGTCTTTCAGTGCTCATTTACTTTAAAAGACAGCTCTATAACAGAAAAGACTAGAAATTACTAGCACAGCATGTGCCAGATATATAGCTAATAATTATATGTCGTAAAATAAGAATGTTTCTAGACCCTGTTACCACCCTGCCCCCATCCCACTCCTGGCTAAGAACAAAAATATTTTAAAACCTCAGTAAAGAGATACTCCTAAAAACAATGGCAAAAAAATCTTCCTGAGGCATTCATGCAAGATTTAAAAATTGAAAATGAAAATTTTGAAAGTGTGACCAACGGAACAATAATCTGAAGGTAAGTCTCAATTATTCAATTGGCTTCTCACGTATTTTGTTATTTCATTTACGGTGTGAGTGTATTTCTTGGCCAACCATGGAAGGATTTCTAACCATGATAAAAAAAAAATAGCCAGATTGTGTGTTTGGAAACATGTATAAATACATATTATGTTTAAAGAATGGTTTTTAAAAAGGTTTTAAAAAAAAGAATACAGGCACAAACGAGGAAATAGGCTTGTGCAGAAATTTTAACTATGCAGGTTGTATTTTTCACAGCTTTCAAACAGTTGGGCATAGTTCAAAGTGTCTAATTAATCAGCGATGGCAGAGAGATTAGAAGAAGTAGCTTGTTCTTAAATATAATTGCATCTGTGATGTACTGGCACTTAATCAAGTTGTACCTCTATTAGACAAACTTGCATGTTGTGAGTGAAGGGAAATCCCAGGAAAGCTCAACAATTTGGGGGCTGTTTTTCGGTAAGATCCAGCAAGCTGTTTCTGCTTTTGACCTGGGACACCCTGACCCAAGGCCATCAGTGGCTTCCATGCCTGTGGCATTAACGGTAGAAGCAATTCAGTCTTAGGAGGAATTCCTTGGGTGACCTCCAAACAGGTAACAATATAATAGCTACCTCCACTTGCACCCTTAGTATTTACAAGGTAAGAGCTGAAATCAGAGAGACAAGTTAGAGCTAGGTCTGAGTCCTTCCTGACACAAGGAGGTTTAGCTTATTCAGTCTAGTAACTAAAGGACAAAAACCAGCCTGGGGCCGCATAATGTGCAGATGCTCCCGAGCCTTTTGCCTGCCTCTCTCTGGGTTGAGTTTGGGGCCCAGGTTTCCAGGTTTGGTGGATCAAGGCTTCTTGGCCTAGAGCCCTGCTGGTATCCAGCTTTGCCACCTCTGTCTCCCACACTATGCTGAGCATGCCGTGCCTCAGCTCTCAGTGAGTCCAGCTCTGGCTGTCGGGTGTTAATCCCACAATCAGCAGAGGCAGAAGATTCCTGCCTGGAAAAGGGCTTGCCCCGCAAGGCCAGTGCTATAATCCTTGTGCCACTTTGAAGGCATGGCTGAGAGAATAGCTGGTTATTACAAGCTTTGGTGAGATCAGTTGGAATGGCCTCCTGCTTGCTACAGACTATTATTTATGCACCGAACAGGACCCAGTCCATCTGCAATCAGCCATCCAGGATGATCAGGAAGTGGCCCATGAAAGGAAGGGTGTTCACAAACCTTCCTCAACACCTCTGTCACAAAGACTAAATCCTATGAAACATATGATGGTCAATTATGCAAAATGGTTTTTTTTTTTTAAGTTTATTTATTTATTTATTTATTTATTTATTTATTTTTCAACGTTTATTTATTTTTGGGACAGAGAGAGACAGAGCATGAACGGGGGAGGGGCAGAGAGAGAGGGAGACACAGAATCGGAAACAGGCTCCAGGCTCTGAGCCATCAGCCTAGAGCCCGACGCGGGGCTCGAACTCACGGACCGTGAGATCGTGACCTGGCTGAAGTCAGACGCTTAACCGACTGCGCCACCCAGGCGCCCCGAGTTTATTTATTTTTGAATGAGAGAGACAGAGTTTGGTGGGGATGGTGCAGAGAGAGAGACAGAGAGGGAGACACAGAATCTGAAGCAGGCTCCAGGATCTGAGCTGTCAGCACAGAGCCTGACGCGAGGCTTGAACCCACAGACCGCAAGGTCATGGCCTGAGCCGAAGTCGGATGCTTAACCAACTGAGCCACCCAGGTGCCCAATGCAAAATGTTTTTAAAGCATCAGAATTTTAATATGGTCTTGCAGATATCATCTGGAGACAAGAACAGCCTTCTGTTCAGGTCACGCTCCCATAACGAACTTGTAATGTTGCTCTCCTACAGGCCACTGACGCAGACCCCTAGTCAAACCCTAGAAGCAGGGAGGATGCATAGCCACTCTCTTCCATCTACCCATCGGAACAAGTCACTCTCATACCAGTCTCTCTCACCTTCAACCCCAAGGACACACTTACCATTGACTTTCACCTCTAAAAGGCTTGGCAAATAGATAGATGCTGTAAGGTATTTACTAATTTATGAATTGGTGTCATGTTTCTATTCTGTTCTGTTCTGTTCCTAAGTCCTCCCAGAGGATGAAATCCATCCTATGTGATCTTCATGTTGCCTGCCTTCAGGGTCAGCATACCTAGTCTAGTAAACCACACTGTGGAAGGCTTTCTTGTCATCACTGCCTAAAACACGTACACCATTCTGCCATTCTGAGAACCACGCAAAGAGGAAGATGATGATTCCTCTGCATACACTATATAAGTCAGTTTAAGCAATTTAACACTTGACGGGAACTAACAGGAATAAGGAAAAACATCACTTCCCAAATAGCTGGCACACACCAAGCATACTCAGAACTACACAAATAAAGACAATACAAATGGCAAGATTACAAACCAACTTTGGAAAATTCCAGGAGAGAAGGTACCAGAGTTGAGGTATGTGTCAAGAAAGCAGGACTTCAATTTTCCAACTGCATTTTCATCCCTTTTCTAACCATTTCTTTGTTAAAATTTCAGTTGGTCTGCTTACTTATGTGAAACTAGACCATCTGCCCTTCTATTTCATCAACTAAGAAACCTTAAGAACAAAGGCAGTACAGTCTCCAATTCATACGTGCTCAGCTTGCTCACATAACCTGCTCATGGAACCATGCTGGGTCTGTTAGCTTCTGGAGGTTCTCCCAGAACGTGCACTCCAGTCCTCATCTCAGGGGCCTATGCAGCTTTAACATGCACTTAGGGAACTGCGTCAATCATGGTGAAACTGGTAATCAACCCGGATCATTCAGTGGGATCAGAGGTGATAGCTTTGCATCAGACCTCAAAGCTCAGGTTTATGGAATTCTGGGCACCACATTAAAAGTGGATTTCCCTATGGACTTCTCACCTAGGGCACATCTTACTTACTGTACTGAGGATAGGCCTCTCACTGTGGTTCCCTTCCATCATGTTTACTTTCCAGAGAGAGCGATGAAGATGAAAATGCCTATCAAGATTTGGTTTCAAGCACCACAGCTCTTGACAAGAACAAGGAGAATTAGGGAAAAATAACAATGCTTTCCAAACAAGTTAAATCTTGACATCAACAGAGAAGAAAAACCTGAATTTCCAGCACAGGAACTGAAGGCGTTGATCCTATCCTTTATATTCCTTTCCTACCAGCAAATGCCATCAAGAATAGACAGTGCCCAAATCTGGACCACCCAACAGGTAGGACAGCTTTCTGCAGATGCCCAACAGCTACAGCTACGACCCCCCAGGTCAGGTCATGTTAGAAGAGACCATGGTGGTTAGTTTGTTTAATTTCGTACCAAAACAGATTACACATATCCTCTTTCTCTGCCTGCCTGACACTTGATCAATGCAATCTTCTTGCTGCCCTGATAAGTCTAACTGAGGGTCCCAGCTGTGGTTCCCTCAGCACCTTGTGCTTATTCTATCATATCACTCTAGTCCAGTGTCTATTTATTCTTCTGTGTTTCACATTCTACAGAGATTTCCTTGGGGGAAGAGACTGTGTGCTTCATCTGTGTGCTCCAGCATACCTGGAACATGGCAAATGCTCACAGAGGAGAATTCCTTCAGTTTGCAGCCAAAGGCCAGTTTCCTCAAAGTTCCTTCTCCACCAGAACATACTACAAAAGACTTAAGAGCTTTCATGGGACACTTAACAAACTGTCACAGAGAATGGCACGGTAACTAAAAAAATAATATCATTTCATTCTTGGGGCACCTGGGTGGCTCAGTCGGTTAAGCGTCTGACTTCAGCTCAGGTCATGATCTCGCAGTCCGTGAGTTCAAGCCCTGCGTCAGGCTCTGTGCTGACCGCTCAGAGCCTGGAGCCTGTTTTGGATTCTGTGTCTCCCTCTCTCTCTGACCCTCCCCCATTCATGCTCTGTCTCTCTCTGTCTCAAAAATAAGTAAACATTAAAAAAAAAAATTAAAAAAAAAAAAAAGATCATTTCATTCTTATGCTTTGGTTTCCCAACTCACTCAAAGTAAAAGCCAAACTCCTTATGAGGCCCCATCAAGACTGCCATCACCTCTCT